GCCGCTACTCCCATATTTGACATTTTAATATTGCTTTTGAAATTTTTTACGATATTAGTTAAATATGGTACAAGTAGACAAGCTAGTATTTAACTTGTTGTATGCAATGCACCCAAGAGATGTTGTTTCTTTCATGATATATACCTTGACATATACAAATCAAATAAAGAGATGATATTTACCTACTGGGATAATCCAAAAAAAAAAAAAAATTAGTTTAAATAAATTTGATTTTGATTTTAATTTTTAAGCAAAATTTAATTAAATAATTGAAGAATATTAATTATTTAAAGATGATAAACTAATTTTAGTTTTTTGATTAAATAAAAATATTGAAAATTTTAAAATAATGTAACAAATATTGCTATAATAGAATTGTATTTAAGAGTTGACTTGAAATAAATAATAAATTTATTAATTTTGTTTAAATATGTTTTTTGGAAAATATTTAATTTAATGAATATAATAATATTGATATGGATAATTTTTATAATAAAATAAATGTTTTTTTTTTTTTTTACTTTTACTTTATCAAAAAATAAAAAATTTTTTATCTTTGTAAAACCACAATGATTATATAGAAATAACAGTTTTAAATAAGAACTGGCAGTAATATTTTTGACTGGTAGAAGAGTTTCAGAATAAAATTAAGCAACTTTTTCATTTTCTACAATTATGTTTAGAGGTCTTAGACTTATAACAAGTTTGTTGCATAATATCAATAAGTTTAGTTTTATTATAATATTTCAATATAAATGTAAGTATATTCTATCAAAGATTAATAAAAATAGGCATGCAGCCTAATTTGAAGTAAAATAAAAATAATAATAATAAATAAAGGTAAAAAAAAATATAAGAGAACAAAATAGTAAAAAATTATTATAGATCCTTTCTTATATAATTTATGGATAAATAAAATTTTTAAGTTTAAATAAAATTTAATTAAATGGTTTATTTCACTGTATCAGTTATCTTGATTCTTGAGTTTCTAAACTAAGACTCACTTGTAATAAAAAAAGTAAAGCATTTTTTCTTGACAAAAATTACTATAAAAGAAAAATTTTTAACAAAATAAATATGATTAAAAGAATTTTTTTTATTACTATTTTCAATTATTAATATATATATATATATATATATCAAATTTATAAAATTATTTGATAACATCACTTGCAATATCAAAAGTACTTGTGGATATAATAATTATTTAACTTTTCTTCTTTTCACTCATTCCTATAACTCAATCCTTTACCAATAAACATGATATTATCTACTATTATATTTTTTAGGCAACATTTATTTCAATAAGATAAGTTTATTAATTATGTTATAAGTACAATTGACTACATTCATTACTTTATATTAGCTGTGACGCGTCCACTAATCTAACGTCGCGTCATGCAAATCTCAACAGACTTCCTAAACTTTTCTTTCACACTGATGCATGTTCTGATGAGATCGCGCCATCTCACATGACCTGCGCCGATCGATCAGCTTGGTATAAATACGCATACAAATACGAAATCGCATCAACAAAGGATGTCGACAAAATTTTTGCTGTTAGCGACTCATATCATCTCAATCACAACAATTTCACATCTTGTGAATAAGATAGTTCCTAGTCCGTATATGGTATGAAGCATTCCTTTTTTTTATAAATGAATCTGATTTTTTTTCGACTTAATAAATAAATATATCAAAAATTTAGGATGAGGTTTTTCATGTTCCGCAAGCACAAAATTATTGTGAAGGAAAATATTCAGAATGGGATCCAAAATTAACGACGCCTCCAGGACTGTAGGTAATCTTTCAAATTGTCTTACGCAATATCTCCGTCACCACCCATGAAATTTAAATTTGCAATTTTTTTTTTAGATATATAATTAGTAACATAATAATATATCCAAGTTATGTTACAAGATTAGTAGACTTTTGTTCAATAGAGCTCCTCCGTGCAACAAATCTTCTTTTCAGCGCCGGATCATATGTCTTACTTTGGAGCATTTTGAATCACCTTCATCCATATCAAAATTCCAATGCGAGGGCTGTCAACGCCCTTTCTCTGTCGATGTTTCCTATAAATTGGTTTTTTAACTTTTTATATTATACAGATTCGGGGTCAACCTTTTTTGTACTTCTGGCTTATTTATTAGCTTTAAAACGAAAACACTGGAAAAGTGCAGTGGTAGGAAGTTGGATTGATTGCAATAATTAGTAATATGAATTATTCTGAACAATGATTCCGTAAATAATAGGCCGCTGGTGTGAGTGTTTTCTTTCGACAGACGAACATCATATGGGTATTATTCATCATGGGAGTATCAATGGTTGACACACTGTCAGATAATGATAATTTGCATATTCATGGTTCACTACGATCCATAAAGGGGGCTGATGTTACCTTTAGTAATTATTTGCTTTCATTACGGACTTCTTGTTTGCTATTTTAAAGAATGCGGTTCTTTTATTAATTTAATTTATTCGTTTTAGGAACGGCATTTCGAGAAATAGCAAATTTCACAATGATGGCAATAAGAAATTTTAAGCTTCTAGTGCCAATATATTTTCCCTATGCTTTCGTTTTTTTAGGTTTTATAGCATTCATGAAATGGAACGGTGGTATTGTTTTAGGTAATAATTCATCAGTAATTAATTGTTGTGACGACATTAATATATAATATATTTTTGCCAATTATAAATTTAGGAGATAAATCAAATCACATAGCAACTATTCATTTTCCTCAGATATTTTATTTTATATCATTCGCTGCCATTTTCTCTGCGTCAGTTACGCTGAGACACAACCATACCCGAACGTTAATTAGCTTGGTAACTCTTAAGAAGGGCCTAGGGTATGTTCTAACTTATTTCATTATTATTTATACAAAGTTATTCAAACTAGACATATTCAATTCTTGCGACTTTACTACTTTTCCAATTGCAAGGATAAAGTTAATTCTTACAATGTCGGTCATGGCTTTATTGATCTATCTTTACACGTAAGTTTATTCTTGATTATATTATTAAAGACGTATGTATTGTTTCTATACTATATAGTTTCATCCTTCTTTGGAAAAAAATGCAGATATGAGCATCCGTTCCTGCTAAGTGATAATCGTCACTACACATTTTACATTTGGAAGAATATATATCGTAAACATATAATAGTTAGATACCTATTAATACCTGCGTATCTGTTTGCGGGATGGGTCTTGTGGGATTCTATAGGTAATTTACTATAATAGTCTCTAATATTATAAGATTTCATTTTTAAAAAACACTCAAATGGATGTCTTTTTAACTCAAATCTTCATGTATGTTCAAACAATCCAGTAAAAAGGCAATCATTTATCTGGATATTGATATACACCATGGCCACATGCCTTACATTGATTCCGTCCCCATTGCTGGAATTTAGATACTTTATAATTCCTTATATTATTTATAGGTTGCACATTAGACAACCTAATTTACAGAAGCTTGTATTAGAATTCGCATCATATACTCTTGTAAACTATATCACTTTATATTTATTCTTATGGAAAGGGTTCAGTTGGGAAAATGAAAAAGACAAAGTACAGAGGTTTATGTGGTGAGTCACTTTGTGGAATGAGTAGGCATATAGGCATTTTCTTGAAAAATTTTATCTTTCATAGTAAATTCCCAAAGATTTTTTTTTTTACAAATAATCTATTCGAAAAGGAATATATTAGGCTATCATTTTACAATTTGAATTCTAATGAGACACCTTGTTGAAGTTAGCTTGAATTTTAAAAAATATAATCTTAGTGAATGTACACAACAGTTGCCATTGTTAAAACAAATATCACAAATTTATTTGCCAATATTATTAAATTATTTATTGCCTGTAAAAAATGAGTTAACAAGATACAACAAATGCCGATGCAATTTAGAATTATTCAAATAAAAATATTATTTTTATCTGAACATATAAATCTTCACTATGTTTTTCACGGATGATAAATTGATTGTTTATTTTATACGATAAATTTCATTATTATAAAAAGATATCTTTTTCATAATTATAAAACAAATATTCAATATTCAAGGAAAATTAAAAATTCATTCATATAAATAACATATCTGATCTAATAACATACAAATTAAAATAAAAGACCTAGATTATTATCAAAAGTTAATATACTGATTTTTTTTAATATATACAGTATACTGTTTATATATAATAAAATTTTTACTTAAATTGTATAATCTGTTTATTAAATATAAATTTAAATAAATGGCTTAAAAATATCAAATCAAATAAATAAATAATTTTGGAAAAAAAGATGATTTAAATTAAATAAAATAAATATAGTTTAAACTAAATAAAAAATGTATTCAAAAATATTTTTATAAAAAATTTAATTGTCAAAATTAATAAATACTGTATAATATAATATAATAGTTTATCTTAATATATATTTTTTTCAATTTTCTTTTGTTATATATATTGTATATATTATAATAAGAAATTATCAATTGTTTTTATTAGTTCCAATTATAATAATTTTTTTTAACAAGCATTAAATGCAAGGCTTTATTAAATTCTTATTATTTATTATTATATTAAAGATTTTTACAAAAATCAAATTAACTCTAGCTTATCAAAATTAAAATAACATATACAAACTTTAAAATATCTTGTAGAAAAAACAAATAAATAATAACTAGTTACTAGTTGTATTATAAATTGATATGTGTATTTATTAGAAGAGTAATAGTAATTAAAAAGCATAAAAAAATAATCAAATTTTAAATATAATGAACTTGAAAATTAGTTTGTTGTTATAATACAATCTGAAAGTTTTATTTATATTGAAAATAATTATTTCAATATAATATAATTATCTTATATAAATACTTAATGAAATAAATATGTAAATTATAATTATTTTAAAAAATTTTGAAAATTTAATAAAACAAAAAAACAACTTTTTAATCATTTTCTTGAATCAATTGCAATAATCATATTAAGTATTTGTAATAAAACTATTTGTACAATTATATATTTTTGATTATTAATTAATAATTTAAATTCTCAATAAACCGAGTTTTTATATAATTGATATTATTAATTAAATTTTTATTATTAATTTTTTTTATATTTTATTAA